TCCAGCATAACTCAGCCAAGATCACTTGCGGGAACATCATCATCAGCCACGTTTGTTGCCTCATCATTCTTTTCTACTTTTTCTTTGGCACTCGTCTGGCGAACCTCACCAGCCCTTCTGGCAGCCACCTGGCTCCATCTGCGTCCTGTGGAAAAACACAAACGTGCCCTCTTCCCCATATCAATACAGGGTTGGCGCCATTCCATTGTCCAGTTAAAGGATCCTTCCACCTGACTTGGGCATAGGTATCCTGTGACTGAGGGTGCCACATTCTATCTGCTGCAGAGTGGTCATTTTTATCCAAATTCAAAAAGTTTAAGATGAAAAGAGTATGATGTAAAAGATTACTTGGTGTCTGGGGATATAACTCCCCAATTTTTATTTTTTGTAGTTGTTTTTAAAACTCCATGAGCTCTTTCCACTATACCTTGTCCTTGTGGGTTATATGGTATTTCAGTCTTGGTGTCTGGGGATATAACTCCCCTTTTCTTATTTTTTGTGATTGTGTTTTTAAAGCACCGTGAGCTCTTTTCACTATACCTTGTCCTTGTGGGTTATATGGTATCCCAGTTTTATGCTCAATGCCCAATTGCAAACAGAAACACTGGAACCCCTGACTGGTATAGCCAGAGCCATTATCTGTTTTTATAATGTTAGGGATCCCAGCTATGGAAAAGCAAGTCAAGCAATGAGTTATAACATTTTTTGTGGCTTCTCCTGTTTATGCAGTAGCCATAATAAAGCCAGAAAATGTGCCTATTGTAACAGGTACATACCTTTGTCTGCCAAAATCTGCAACATGAGTAATGTCCATTTGCCACAATTGGTTAGACTTCAGCCCTCTAGGATTAACCCCATAATGAGGAACAATTTGTGTTTGAGGACAAGATGAGCATTGTCACACAATTTGTCTTGCAGCTTCCTTAGTAATATGAAATTGTTTTCTCAAACTTTGGCTATTTTGGTGGTGAATGGAAGGTAGCTTGCTCTACTTGAGTCAATCCTATAAGCTGAGTGGCTTTATCTGCCAAGGCATTCCCCAAAGCTAACGGCCCAGGAAGACCACTATGCGCTATGAGATGTCCTATATAGCAAGGACATTTTCTAGATTTAATACTATTTTGCACTTGTCTTAACAGCAAACAAATTTGAACATTCCTTGTTTCAATAAAAGGTACTGTTTCAATTTCCTGTAGAGCTTGAGCTACATAATGACTATCTGTATAGAGAGCTTGAAGGGTGTTGAGGCCAGAAGCTGGAACACTGCAGCTACAGCATGAAGTTCCACTACCTGTGCTGAAGCAGGGGAAGTTTGAAAAGAATAACTTTGCCCATAAATCACATAAGCCACATTTCCATTAGAAGAACCATCAGTAAATACTGACATAGCCTGGGTAAAAGGGGCAGTAGGACCATACTGAGCACAAGCAGTCTTTAGTTCCTTAAGCTGCTTAAAAGGCACAGGTGCATGAGACCGCACCCTGTTGCCCTGCTGACCAACTTGCTCAGAAACTGGGAAGACCTGAAATCCATGCACTGACTCTCCTTTCTCTACCGTGGCCCCAATGGCCTGTTGTAGCAGAGATTGCAAGGTTCTAAGCGGGTACCAGATTCCTGCCAAAGGCTCCTGAGCCATGGCAATCATGGGAGGTGCAACAGCCTTCGGTGACCTCAGAGGAGGCTCTCCTAACTCTTTTCTCTTTGTTCTTTAACATTTCCTTCTTCACAGCATCTAACTCTAAACATTTCCTTCTTCACAGCGTCTATCTCTTCCCTTAATTGCTTAATTTCCCAGTGATCAGGCAAAGCAATTAGAGGTGGACACTTTTCCTGATCATACTCAACCGTCTCCTCTCCTAGGGCAGACTCATCCTCAGGATCAAGAGATCCCTTTTCTAGATCCAGACTGGGGTCCTCATAAAAGGGTGGCAAGGCCAATGGAGCTGGCTCTGGTGGAGCGGAAGGTTTGGTTTTATCCCAGCTGTGGCTTATTGGATTCTCCTCTTTAGTCTCAGCCTTTGCTCCTCGGGCCCCAAGCATATTCCTTACAAAAACTGAGAAACAAAAACCGGCCAAATACTTGTTTTGTGAGCTCCACCATATGAACACATTCCTCCTGATTTGGCAGATTAGGTACTGGTGTGCAAAACACAAATTCAGTAAACAAGACTGCCACAGCTTATGTACATAATAGATTAATAGCTCCCAACAATAGTCTTTTTGCTGTATGCTGATTGACACAGTCTTTTTTCTTATCTTGTTTATTATGAATAATACTGAAACAAATACTAGCATGCAGCTATCTCTTTGAGATATTGATTTAATTCCCTGTACATACATTCATAAAGTAGGATCATAGTTTGAATTTGATAATTCTACTTTGGATTTTTATGAGGAACCATCATTTTCTTCTACATAATGACTGTACCAATCTACCCTCGCTCCACCAAAAATGAACAAGTGCCCCCCTTTTTCACAGCCTAACATTTTTTATCCTTTAAGAGTTTGATAAAAGTAATTTCAACATATATGAGGTGATATTTGGTTTGAGTTTGCATTTGCTTGGCAAATAGTAATACTGAGCATGTTTCCATACACCTATTGACAATTTTACTATTTTTGGGAAGATTCTTCTGCTCCTTTTCCTTATTATTTATTTATTTATTTATTTATTTTTATGTGTATGAGTGTATTGTCTCCATGTGTGTAAGCATACCTGAGCATGCAATGCCTGAGGAGGTCAGAAGAGGGGCTT